TCTTGGATCGAATAAACAGAGACAGGTCGTACGAGTGATGTCCAGGCCTTTTTGTACGGTCGTCAGCAATTCTGCCACGGTGGCTCGAGACTGGAGCTGGTTAACGGTCCTCGCGCCAGGCTCGCCGTGGATTCCTAGCCCGATCTCCATCTCGTGCGGTTGAATATGGCGACTATATAAGTCGGTTATTACGATTAAATGGTAGGTGAAGTGAATACTACTACACACTAACCTGGAGCTTTGACCTGGCAGTGTGCACGAGTTCCACGCCACGCCCATCGTTCCAATGACAAGTTGCTGCAGTTGCTCTGCAATTTTGGCCAATGGGAACCCTTGAGCGGCCATGGCTCCAGCAATCTTGTGCACAAAGACCGTGCCTGCCAACCCGCGATGGCCCGCCTTGGCGTCTAGAGGTCCATGTCAAACACTTGTCCAGTCAGCTTACTGCACCAGGGATTGCCAAGTCGTCTCCAATCACGACCATGTCCACGTTGAGTCCTTCTGCTTTGGCGGTTTCGATAGCCAAGCCAAAGTTCAGTCGATCGCCCTTGACATCGCGTTAATATCAAGGTGGTTTCATTGAATGCTTGCTTACTGTGTAGTTCTTGACGATAATCAAACACCCGTGGGGACCCGCAGCCAGCCGAATCGCAGTCAACACCTGCTTGGTACTTGGGGACGCAAATACGTCACCGCAGATGACCCCCGTAAGCATGCCATGTCCAATGTATCCAGCATGAGCTGGCTCGTGGCCGCTTCCACCTCCAGACAACAGGGTTACTTGGCGCTGCTTGAGGTCATTGTAGTCGCGATGCAGGACGATTCGGTAGTCAGGGACAAGGCACAGATCCGGGGACGAGTGCACCAAGCCACGCAGCATCTCATCGACCACCGAGGTCGGCGAATTGATCATTTTGAACGCCGTTGTCATGGCGATTTTGCGAATGTGCCAAGCAAGACTCACGAAGTGCACGGAGGGTATATCCTGGGAAAAATTATACTTGCATATTTGTATCAATTAGAGTAAATATACTACTTGTGCACGTGTTATGATAGGTTGCCGAGGGAATATTTCAATTAGACTATTGCGATGAAGCGGCAGCTAGACGGCAAGGATACCAATGGGCGAACTAGTCCAGTCACACTGATACATTTGCATGACGAGGTTGAAAATTAGTGTGGACCACACTAATTACGGTCGACGGTGTAGTATTCCACGACGCAATGCCGATTTCGTGCGGCATGTGCTTTGGCTGGTTAATTGGCCAAAGAAATGATACTAGTGTGAGTGGGAACAAAATGTCGCAAAAGCGAAAACATTGTGCCACCTCGTTAGAGCTCCTTACGAGCCTGTTTGCGTCGGCAAGACTCCTCGACCAAGGTCTCAAGGCTGGGGCACCCCTTTCAAGTACGACAAGAAGTGCCCCGAGTATCATTGTGACGTTTATTGGAGTTTTTTCACGGGTAGAAACTGGAGGCGCGCGCGTCGTCCAACTCAAGAGGTAACT